CCACATACTTAATTGCCAGATTGTTTGGGAATTTGAATACCTTCTCTGTGAACTGTTTTCTGTGAAACCAAATGGATTGCCCAGCTCTCCTGTGGCTCGATGGGAACCAGCAGCGTGGCAGCTGGAAGCAGGAGGTGCCCTGGGCAGCAGGAGGCTGCAAGCAGACGGGGCTTCCTCTTCCATGTTACCCCAAACAGTGTGAAAGGCACTGCAGGATGTTCGAGTGCTGCTGTCACCTGAAGGATGTTTCATACTGCTGCAGACCAGGAAAAAAGGCCTCTTCTGGGCTCTCGAGCCTGAATAACAGAATGAATGTGGATTTTTCGTGGTTGTCTCGGTTGTCTTTGCTACCTCCTTATGTTTCCTGACGATGGTACCTCTTCCCTGCCTTTTGGGGTGACTTTAGCTTTTCCCAGTGCATAAGCAGAGAGTGTTAGATGCTTCCTTGTCAGAGCTGTACATTGGGCTGACCTGCTGCTGCTTTGCCTTGCAGGAAGCACTTATCGTGCAGATTCTGCTGGTTATTTCATGGGGAGGCAGAAAGTGCCTTCATGCAGCATTGAGCTGGGGGTGATTGCTTCTGTGTAGAGATGGGGCTCTTTGGAGGAAATCAGGGCTTTTGCTGCTGCTGTTCATTCTTTTGTGCAAAGCTTCCTATCAGAGATGAGATCCTCTTGTGCTGAGTATGTACAGATAACATGTGTGTGAGCACGTGCCAGAAACATCAGTGTGCAGAGCAGCAGTGGAATCAAGACCAGCTCTTCTGAGAGCTGTTAAATTGCACCAACCATTGCGGTTTATTTCCTCCTGCTGCCATTTCCTCCCAGGATCTCTCGAGTTTCTACAGTTTGCAACAGACCTCCCCAGTGAGTGAAGAAGTGGAGAGCAGGCAGCAGCTTTGGTTCCCTTCTGCACAACGATGTACCAGCCAGCTGAGTGGATCGCAGATGGGGTGCTCCTAAAGTGAGAGCCCAGTGTGTGTTCAAGTTTATGAGCACTGCTCACAGAAGGTGGCCCTGAAGTGAGAGTTGATGGCTTACAGTCAATCCAACATGGATTTCTTTTTCTTCATGGATGAGGAGTTTTTGCACTCTCCATTCTGAAGATGACACAGCAGCAGCTCAGGTAGAGGCTGCTGTTAAATCAGTTGCCAGACTCTCACAGTTCTTACCAGGCCTGAGGTTTCATTTCCTTTTCTTTGGGCTAACTGCATGCAATGGACTGGAATCACAGAGTTTCCTTGTGCACTCTTTTTTTCTGATGTTTCATCACGTCTCTCTACTCTCAGAGAAGTTATTATGGCTGATGCAACACTGGCTGCATGAAACTTCGGAGTGGAGTGGCTTTGCAGAGTAGTTGAGGAGGACAAAGTCATGGGTAGATTGCCTGGGCAGGCTGTAGTGTCTCAGTCCCTGGAAGGTTTTTGGAAGAGGCTGGATATGTGCCTCAGCCGTGTTAAACAACAGTGGAACCTGTTTTAAGACAGGCTGTGAACTTGTCTTTGTACCATTTGTTCACCTCTACTTTGCAAATAGTATTTTCTAGTTAATTGGTAGTGACAGATGCTCATGGAATATTGCAACTGGGTGAATAATCATCAAAGAAGTATTTGGAAGTAGTTGTTCCTGGTATATTAGGCTTGAGTTTCCAAACAAGAGCTCCCAATAAGTGAGCAAGAAGATGGCATTAGCTGTGGGTACCTTTTGCTGAAAGGGTGTGGGCAATAATCCCATGCAGAAACAGTTACTAGGCCTTGCAGGCTCTGATGTGGTCACATTAATCTACAGGTTTGCTTTATATGTGAATGCAGTCACTTTACTTTCTAATATTTGGCTGGTTTTAGATACGATCTCCTTTTTCCCCTTGTTTTTCTTACGTGAAGCCTTGTTTTGTTTTGTTTTATTTTTTGAGGTGATTTAATCACTAGGGAGGAGTGCAGACTTCTTAGAAACTCAGAAGATGTTTCACTCTTCAGCACTATCCATCTCCTGCATATGGCAAACAGGGGATCTGGGTAAAGAGAATCAGTCAAGAGACCGAGGAGAGCTACAGGCATGAAAGAACACCTCTGAAGAGAGTGAATGGGATGGCAGAAAGCCTGTATTTTTTCAAGAGATTTGTGCATTGCATGAGCAGGGATAATCTTGCAGCCTTTTCTCCAGCAGGTGACTGCAAGAATAAGCCTTGCTTATTCCTTGTGACCAGAAAGTGTTTCTCTTCCAGCTCTTAGCTCTTCCTTTGTTGTGAGTCTTGATTTTTGCTGTTTTTTTTTTTTTCCTCCTCAGCTCTTCACACATGAAGCACAAAGCAGAGGCCACATGTGCCTGCTATACCCCATTTGACATCTTCACAGCATGACCGATGGTAGCTGGCCTTTGAAACAGATGCAGCTGTGATGACACAGAGCCTACCCAGCAGCTCTCCTGTCCTGCCTCTGTTCCAGCTTCATGCATGCATTCAGAGCAGCCAGCCTGCTCCTAATACCATGCCTATGGCTTCAGCCAGCCAGAAGTCATCTACAGTTTGCCTCCTGTGACACTGAGTCACAGGGAAGAGGAAGATCTTGATTCACTGTCTCATAGGAAACACTCTGGCTCCAGGCTTCCTTGGGCATTTCCTCACTTAAACACCAGTTCAGCAAAGCATTTGAATAGAGCTCATTCAGCTGCTGTCTGCACCTCACCACTCCCCACTGTATGACAGTGAATGTTCTCATGGTGCTGATGGTTGTTTCTTGAAGAAGTGTCAGCTATGTGAGGTGGAGTCGATTGCTTTGGAGTTCCCTGCTCAGGAAAATTGTTAAAAATACTTCATTAAAAATCATGAATCTGGTGGCAGAAGCTTTCTTCCTTTTCATCTTTTGCAAGCTTTGTCTGCTGAGCAGCATGGAAATGTGCATGAATGATGGAGAGAGGCACTTCTTTGTCCACTACCAAAAGAAATTCTGGAGAAAAAAGAAAACGCGGTGTTGCTTTTGTCAGAAAATGAAAGTTCAGAAGAAGTCTCACACACATCGTTTTGGAGGAAACTTTCCACTTAGCCACATTTTTGGAGGCACTAGACAGGTCTGCCTTGGCCTTGGTACAGAAATGTCTCAGCTCTCCAAAACTGCCCTGGAAACATCACTAGAATTGCCTCTCCTGTGAGATTTCAGCTTTCTGCTGGGTTGACAGTGCAGCCAGGCTCGGTGGGATTTCCCAGCACTGTGTGTGTCGTGCTGTGGCTGCGCAGCAGCTTAACTCTAAGGCTCCTCCTGAGCAGGTGCAGAATCTACAAAGACCGAGATCAACTTAAATGCCCAACATTTTCACAATCAAGTGTTTTACTGATGGTAATACTTCAAAACCTTCACAGTTGAAAGCAGCCTTTACATTCGTTAATCTTATGGAAAACATTAGAGTCTTGCATCAGAGCCATAGAGAACTACATTGGGCAGGCTAAGAATACAACACCAGCCATGTCTGGGCCATATTCCTTCACTCTACTACTGTCAGCTCACCTCTAGCAGGTCATATACTTGGAGCTACGCTGACAGCTTCACTCGCTCCTCAGGTGCTGTGGCTGGTGTTAGGGGCCACTGGGTGCCTGTCTTAAGCATCGAGGGGGAGGACAGTTCAGACTGCTTTCCTGTTTTATTTCCTCCTTTCCTAATCAAGATACTGAAGTCCTGCAGCTCCACCTGCGCAGCTCTGGGACTCAGAGCACTCATTCATTTTACACTGGTGCCTCAAGCGCCGTTTGTAGGTAGTGGTCCTGGTGGCACTCAAGATGATGTAAAATCCCTGCAGTCTCTTTCTAAATGCCTCATGCCTCCTGCCTCTCTGGGATCTGTTGCACTGCAGGCCGTGTTTTAACAGAATCTGCTGGGTTGGAAGTTGCAGCTGTTCCAATCACAGAGGGCTCATGCTAAATGTGAGCCCACATGATGTTTGTTCATCCGTGATTTGTCTTGTACTTTGTCTGGGAATTCAGGCTGTGTGCCTTGGCCTGACTCTGTCATATATATTTAATCCTGGTTTCTTTGCAGAGACTTCCTAGGGAACAGGAAGCAAAAGGAGAGTTGGTGAGACAACGTGTAGGGAGAGCTGGCAGCCAGCCAAAAGCTCCATCCAGCTACCAGAAGTTTGTAAGCAGAATTATTTTCTTAGCACCTCATCATGTTTCCTGCAGAAGCTTGGGCAGTCAGACAGGTTTTCCATCCTGGTAGGCTAGAAAACATGGGGTGACTAACATTTAGACAAGATGTTGAATGTTACTTGATGATTGCCTTGCAGAGAGGGCTGCTGATAGGGGAGAGGGGAGAAAAAGTCTGGAGGCATGAAAAGGGGAACACTTGAGCCAAATCAGTACTGGGTATTTGAAGTCATATTCCTGTCTTTTTCCTGTGCCTGATAATTGTAAGTCCAAACTAGAGCAGGTTTGACTGCTTTTACAGCTGGATCTGGGAGATGTGTAAGTGCATGTCTCAGGCTCAGCAGAAAGCAGGAATTTTCCTAGGTGGTGAGCTCAGTTTTAAGTTCAGGACTGGCTTTATCCTGGCTCCAGCCAGGAAATGTGGCCGGGAAAGCAAAGCCTGGTGGCTGTTTTACTAACACAAGAGCAGTTCTCTGCCAGTGTCCAAGGGTCTGTTGAGGATCTGCTGCTTTTGAGTACTGGTACGGAGCTGCAGGGACCTTCTGTGTGCCCACCTCTACCCTGTATGCTCATGCCCTCATGGGAGGAATGACTGACCCATGCAGAAAACACTTCTGACACAGTTTACAGCCCAGTGTTAAAATAATGCCAGTTGGTGCCACTTCCTCCATGGAGTTGTTATGTGTGGACTGACAGCTTGTGCACAATGCTGCTGCTGTGATCCTCTGTGATTGTGAATGGCACAGCTAACTTGATGTGATAGAGTGGGGGACTACAGTTCACAGAGAGACCTGGGATCTCCTTTTCTCCTCTCTATGCACATGGCTCTAATTTATGTTCTCACAATTCTCATTCTGCAGCTTGGTTCTGGCTGACTGTTGTGCCCCACACCAGACTCCAGAATGTCAGTGTCACTGGATTACACCATTCTGCTGGGGAAGTCTGTTCAAGTTTCTGTTCAGATCCTCAGGTAAGGCTGAATTTATTTTTATTTCTGAAACACAGAGCAGTTAGAAGCAAGCTCAGGGTCACAGATGGCAGCACAGCCTTGCAGCAGAATGCAGCATCCTTTTCTTCCTGGCCTAAGCTGTTGAGTATCATTTGCTATGTCAGCCTGCAAATGCAGGGATAAATTTCATTGCATGAAGTAATGCCTGAGCATGGATGAAAAACAGATGAAAGCTTAGCATAGGTGAGCATACAGTTAGATAAATTTAAGCTTATTTTTTAATGGTGATGTTTAACAGTTGGCGCCAATTACCAAGGAATACAGTGCTTTTTTTTCTGTCACTTAAACCTATGAAGAAACCGTATCTTTCTGTCTCAGCCAAAACAGTTGGTTTTGGGACATTAGAGGAAATTCAAGAACATTTCTATGCAGTGTAAGTGATCATTAACAGCCCTGGCTGGTCTCTTGAAATCTGGAAGTCTAAACCCTGTCGTTTTCAAGCTGCTTGGCATTCTTTAGGATAGATATCACTGTCTTTAGACAATCCTTCTTCCCCTCTCCTCAACCTGTTTTCCCAATATATTACCATGGGCAAGTAAGCACGTCTTAATGAAACCAAAAAGCAGTCAGGAGCTGTATTTGTTAAAGGCTTCTGTATGTCTGTACAACGTGAAATGGTAGCTTACACCAAACACAGAGGTTGGTGTTTGAAGAGGCTTTGTGCTGAGGTCATGGCTTGCTAAGAGTTTCTTCTGGTAGCAGTACTAACATAAGCATCTACCATTCACACCTGCTGGTTTTTTTGTTTGTTTGTTTGTTTGTTTGCTTCTTCTTTTTTTTCTTTTTCCTTCCAGCTGCAATAGCTTGTATCTTGAGGGCTTTCTCACTGACTCTGAGGAATAGTTCTCTTTGTGGGGCTAGCTGATCTCGTGTCTCAAGACCAGTTTAAGAGTGTAGGAGCTAGGGAATAAACTGGCTACTCTTGAAAGAGGCTGTTTGGATCTTCTTTGTCAGGTGGGAGCAAATGATCATAGACAGAGATCAACCAAGAATCATAGAATCACAAGGTTGGAAACAACCTGCAAGTTCATCTAGTACAGCTGTCCTCCCATCACCACTGCTACCACAAGCACTAAACCAGATCTTGCAGCTCCTCATCCAGACGCCTCTTGAACACTGCCAGGGACAGCAATTCCACCACCTCCCTGGGCAGCCATTGCAGTGCCTGACCACTGAGAGAAAAAGTTTCTCCTCATGTCCAACCCAAACCTCCTCTGGTACAACTTGTGGCCATTTCCTCAGGTCCTGTTTGTTGCCTGGGAGAAGAGGCCAACCCCCTCCTCATCACAACCTCCCTTCAGGAAGTTGTAGAGGTCTCCTCTGAGCAGTGAAAATTGCAGTGAGTCTCTGGTGTCAGTACAACGTGATGAAATCAGCTAGACCTATGGCACCCTATGGAGAAATGTTAGAGGTCAAAGGTTTTGAGTAATAGGAGGAGGAAGTTACAACCCCATATCTGAGTCATGATCTTTGTTTTTCTCTTCTGAGGGGGAGAAATCTGTGCTTTTAGAAGAGCGTTGGTTTTGCTTTGTGAGAGTTCCCTTTGATTTCAAGGGGAGGAAAAGTAGTTGTAAAAGAGGCATTTTTCTCTGACTTTCTCAACTTGCTGCAAAACACTTGAGAAAGTACAAGTAAAATTCAGCGTAGAGAAGTGGAGCTAATTCAGAGAATAGGGTGCTTTCCCCCCCAGCTGGTGAAGTTTGGGCTAAGTTCATCTAAAGCTGAAAAAAAAATCTTCAGCTAAAAATAGCTGTGAGCTGACTGAGGAGGGAAGTGCAATATATTCTTGGCCAGCTCTTGCTCTCACCTAGGTGCCAACTCAGTCTCTGCTGGAGACTGTACTGGGCAGCTGCTGTGGAGCTGGCTGGCTCATCTCAGAACTCTGGGACTGTTAAACCTGGAGAGAGTTTTGTTTCTAGTGCCCAAATAGAAGTGTCAGCACAACTAAAGCTTTCTAGAGTGTCCCGAGGGCAGTGTGTCTCTGTAGAAATGATGCCTAGGTTATTTCTACGTGTTCTGCAGTCTCAGTGATAATTTCCTTCCCTGACCACCTGGCTACAAACTGGCATGTGGTTGGAAGGGCTGGACAGGAGGACACAGGTACTGCTCTGAGCCCGTGTAGGAACCTCTAAACTGGGAAGTGTTGGTGTGTCTCCATGGTTAGCTTTCTCTTGAGCAAAACCAATCCAAAAGAGCAGTGCTGACTGTTGTTTTTTTTTCAGAATGTAAAGCTAGGCTCACTTCTTCCCAGGTATTGGTATTGGCAGGTCTGATAACTCCTTATGTTTGGAGATGTCGGGGAAATGAATATTTCCATAACTGTTTTGCTGAAAGCAAAACTCTGGGGCTTCTTTCTTTATTTCCAACTTCTAAAAGATTAGCTCCAGAAAATATCGTGCCTGGCAGAGCCTGTCTCTCTTTGCGATGGCTGAAGTATGCCTCTGCAGCCAGTTCTTTCTACGTGGGGACTCAGAGAGCTCGAAGAACAAGCCAAGGCAATACAAACGGGACCTTCTGAGAGGCTGCTGCAGCTGCAGAGCACAGCCCTTACACTGGCCCCAAGGTTTGTTTATCTTTTTGCCTTCGAGGAAGCATCGGTTAGGGGGAGCTCCCCAAATGGTACGGTTTAGAAATCTGTATCCTCTGCTAGGAAGTGCACATGCATCTTTCTTTATAAGCCATTTGATATATTTTTCCTTCTCTTCCCCTCTCCCCCTCCTCCCCCCAGGCAGCAGGATCTTTGGCCACTGCATGCTTTTAATTAAATCTTTCTGAATGTAAGCTTGTATGTTCTGACACAGAGTCAAAGAGTACCATTGCAGGGATAAAATCAGCAGCAGAACTGAAAGCATTTTCTGGTTTTGATTACTGGACAACTCCAGTTACTGCGCAGTGTGTTCTTGGCTGGGGGCTGGAAACTATCATGGGAGCATTCCATGATGCTCCAGGAATGCTGAACTTCCCCCGGAAAGTGAGGGGTATATGTGGGTGTTGTCTTGGCCTGTTTCCAACCTTTCTAATGCTACTGTCACTCCTATCCTATGCATTCTGCTTTCACGGTATCCATTGGTGCAGGTTATTTATCTCCCCTCGCTGTTAGGAATAACTGCCACTGTTGTGCTGTTGGGTTTAGTTTGTTTTGTCTCTAAAGAAAGCCCCATGCTTAGTGATGAAAGTGGATAAACAAGTGCTTGCTCAGCTTCGCACCTCTGTTACCTGAAGGTATAATCACTTTCTGAATCTGTTTGCCTTTGCCTCCATGCTGCTGCACGGATGCTTTGGGAGGAGCACAGTGCTGCAGCTGCTCTGCTCTGCCTCAAGGCATGGCAGCATGTTGGGAAGAAGTAGCTCCCTGAGCTATTCTGATGGTCTGATGGTACTGCCTTCACTCTGCACAGCCCTGTGCCCAGCTCCCATGGATTGACTTGCTAATTTGATCTCTGAGCTGCCTGCTGATAGCTGGGCCATGTCTGACCCTGTTTATTGGCACGGGACTTGGACCTGCAGCTTGTCTTTTTGGCTAGGAACTGTCTTGTCACCATGATCATCTAGACTGTTCATTGGTTCTCATCTCCTAGGAAGAAGATTATTCCCTGGCACGAAGCAATATCCTGCTTCTCCCTTTAGAGATCTCTGAGGAGTGGTTCTTCTGAGTCTCATCTCAGTCTGAAGCACTTCCTCAACATGCACCACAAAAAGCAAGAGCGTGTGACTTTGGGGATGCCTGGTCAGTAGAAGCAAATCACCCTTTGCAAGTAGCTTTGAGGTACCCCCTGGGGAAGGTGGCACAGTGCACTGAAGCTGTGCTTTCCTTCAGATCTCCAGTGTGGCAAGTAGGTTTCCAGCAACTCATTTGTTGCAACGTTTGTTATCATTCCAGCCATGAGATGTGATGTAGTTCTTAATATTTCAAGGTGAGGAGACAAGCACTTCTCTCCAGCCTAAGGGAAGGATGCTTGGGAATCCGGGGCTTTGTTTCCCGTTTGTGTTTAAAACTGATAATAATTCTAATGTCTTCTGATGGGATTAGTAATGTGCCCTGCACTGTGGTGTTTTCAACCTCCCGGGACCAAAAGAAAAAGTCTTTTACAGCATCCTACAGGATCCATGAGAAACATGGGGAATTCATGGTTACCTGTTTATTGGAAGCAAAGATCATGACCAATACAGTTACAGAGGAATTACAGTAGCAATCAATAACAGACAGGAGGAAACGTTTCCTGAGAAAAGAAGTCGCAATTAGGGAAGGAAAGCACTTGGATCAGATAAATGAGTTTCCTTGTGAGAGGCCCTGTGCCTGGTCACCCCTCTCACTGTTCTTGTTAGCAGCGGCACATTTCCTCCTGAGGGACAGGTAAATACTCAGAGGCAATTTTTCAGAGGGGACCAGTCTTCCCCTCTACCACCCCTCTACAACTCTTTTTTTTCCTCTTACGGGCTGATGTTCCCTGACAGCCCCTGCCCACTTTCCTCCCAGTCCTCCTGCTACCTCTTTTCGGATAAACCCTTAGGTACCTTACCAGACAGTGTCTGTTGGCCAGAATGCCTCTGTTTCCTCTGTCTTGGAGCTCTGCTGGGACACAGCAGATCAGATTGTAAGGTATACAGCCTGCAGGGAAGCACGCACCTAGGAACACATCTAGAGCGACACATCCCACCTGTTCAGTGGATGCACACTTCTAAGCAAGAATAGTATGTGCCAACTAAGAAGGAATTGCTGTAGCTTCTTGAGCTCCCCTCAGCTCTTGCTGAATAAACTCAGTCCAGGGATGTTTTCCTGCATGGGCTGTTTGAGCTGTCATTGCCATGGATAGGGGCAGCACTGGCACTGTGGCCCTTGGCACACGGTAGCTTCCAAACTCACCTGAGCCACTGCCATATCAAGAGCAGCCATGCGATTTGTGCAGAAATGGTCTGCATGGGACTTGCACTGCAGGAAATCTGATTTCACTTGTGATGTG